TATATATATATATATCTATGCAATTATGTTAGACTTCAGAATAAGACATTCCAAATTTAAAGTATACACACACACACACACACACATACACATACATACAGTGTGTGTGTGTGTGTGTGTGTGTGTGTGTGTGTGTGTGTGTACATACATACAATGTATGTATATCTGTCTATATTGAATAGAGTGAGAATTAAATAGACTTGGACTGTGAGAATAACCTTTTTGCTCCTATATAATGTATGTTATGTGACAATATAAGTAGCTGTTTCATGCACTAAATTCAGAAACCTGTTCTATATGAATAGTTCCAAAATTGGAATGCTGTAATTTAGCCTGTTCCAATCATTTATAGAAATAATACAAAGCTCATTGCACCCCAGGAATAATTATATTAATATTTTGTTTCCAATGCTAATACTTTTCTTCTTCCTAGGCAGCTTTTGCTGCATATTTAAACTCCTTCCTTTTCAATAACTACAGTGTTAACTATCTGTTTACTGCCTTATTAGACATCATTTATAAATTAACATTAGCATTTCTCTGCAGGTCCATGGATGGCAGAATCACAGCACAGGCCTTCAGTTTTGATCAGAATCTCAAAGGCTATCAACGGGATTATTTCCTAATGGTAGATACACAGATTTTATTTAGTATTTGAAGGATTATTCATTTACTTATATTATTCAGTGGAAACGTAAGCTGGCACGTAACGGGGCGTCCCCTCATTTTATCCTCAGAATAATATTCCTTTAAGTTATAAAATGACTCAAAAGTAATTCAATGAACACCATGAAGGGATGACTTGAAGCTGGATCTCTTGCAGTTACTTCATTACTTTTCAATATTAAAATTCAATGCAGTTTAATTCAGTTTAATTACTTTTCAATTCAAGAATCATTCAATGCAGAATGTCATAAATATGAAAAATAAAGCAAGAATATAATCAACTGCCATACTCCTGTAGGCAGTTAAAAACTATAGTATATACTAGATATACCTCTGTAAACTGTTATGTAATAGCAGGGCAAAACATTTGCCTTTGAAGAAAGGGACATACCCTCAGAGATCTGTTTTCAGCTATTGTAGAAACCTGCATGGCTTTTACAGTTAGCTGTAACATCAAAACTATGAGTATTTTTGTAGGTGGGGAGAAGAATTCGCTGCATGCCATCAATGGCCAACAAATGTATGTCCTGAGGCTGGCATAGATTAACATCCTCAAAGGAATTAATCGGAAAATACTCATAGAAGGACCATAGAAGGTAAAAGATAACAAGAGGACACTAACAACAAGATAGATGGACTTGATTACAGCAGAAACGAATGCAAATTTGGAAGTCCTGAAGGTTATTAGAAAGAGGTCATCCTGGAGAAAATCTATCTATGGGATACTGATTTGAAGGCACATAATCAATAGTGAATAATGTGTAGGGTTATGTCTGGGGTGGGAAGCAGCTTCAAAATAATGGGTTGTGAGTTCGAGCTTAGAAAAGAACATAAATGTTATATGCTGCTTTTAAATAATGTCTGTATTTTTATTACTGTACTCTGTATTGTATCAAATATTAATATACTTGGTTATTTCATAATTGTAATACAGATTTTTCATTCATAGAAAAATTATGTTTTTGCCTTGACAAGATTTTGAAGCAAATGGACAGATTCTGATTTATAAAGAGACATGGATATATATCTTCACTTTATAGATTTCATCAATTGAGTGATTGCAAGTCTATTCACATGAATAAAATCCAATTTGGAAGGCAATCCCAAATTCCAGACACAGCATCTGATAGCTGTCACCTAATTTATCATGTCTTTCAGATATTATTTTATAACAGAATCTAATAAAAATGGCTTGTCATTGCCTCTATACTTCTAGGCTTTTTTAAATCACCCAGAGGTTAACAGCAATTTGAAATTGCTTTCATCATCTGGACAGTGGACTACATTAAGTAAGTAGAGCATACTTAAAATAGGTTTTTCTTGTCTTTTAAAGCTTCTTTCAGTGTAATTATATTTTTCCCTTGCCAACCACTAGATTTGTAATTGATGTTATCTTGATAACATAATTACAAAGATGAAAATGTTACTCTTAAATTGACATGGGACTATACTGGATATTGTCTCCCTTCAGAACGCTTTATTATATGCTTTAACGTTTTGGGTTAATGATTTGTGATGTTGATTTTGACTTACTGTAAGATACTAATTCTGTTGTTTTTTTTTAAATTGATACCAATCAAATGTGAGTGTAGTAATTCTTTAAACATTAGAACGTTTTGAGGCAGATTCTAGAAATCCATAAGGAGCTTAGTGTGTGACAAGTGAGTGGTAGGTCTTCAGCCCTGGTTTGTAGATTTCTTGATATTAAAGTTGATTGAGGATTTTCTGTTCTTCTTCTTACCATTCACCTATAAGTCATCTGCTAAAGGTCTGTTGAAGAGTCCTTAATATATCTTAATTTCTTTCTTCAGGGAAGCAGCTCCCTAAAACATATTGTATATTTTTATTTATTCCAGGCTATGCTCAAAAAAGTAAATGTAACTTTTTAGTTTGAAAGGTTTCCAGAAGTAATCTAATAATTTTGGGAAAAAGTATTCTGATATTCCGTTAGGCTTCTAATGACATGGTCATGTGCAGGAATCAGCAGATTAAACTTTTCATTGCAATTACTTGCACTTACCTACAAGAATCAGGTTTGCATTGTGACCATGATCTGTGATTCAGTTTTGTCACCAGAAGATCAAAAAAGGTATTGCAGGGAACAATGAAATTCAAAAATAAAATCCTTCATATTGTCGACAGTTGGTAATTAGTCAAGCTAAAACTGGTTAATTTAAATGATAATGGGTTACCCAAGGCAATCTATTGAAGACATAACCATTCTTAGGGCAAACACAATGGATTGTGTATGGATGATCACAATGAAACAGTAATCCTATCCTGAAAATATGATATATGAAAAACCTTCATGTATCTTCCTCTCCTCTCCTCGAAAAGAGCTAGGCTAAGGCATGAATTAAAAGCTAGTTTGGGGTAGTGGTTAAGGTGCTGGCCTAGAAACCAGGAGACTGTGATTTTTTTTTTCTGCCTAAGCCTCGAAAGCCAGCTGGGTGACCGTGGCCCAATCACTCTCTCCAGGGCTAGGATTGAAAAATGTTAGCAACTGGTTCTCTGCCTGGTTGCTGGGTGGGCATGGCCTATTTGGCCTCCTGAACCACGTAGAGTGTGTGTGTGTGTGTTAGCCCTCCCCAGGCTCTGGAGACTTTTCTCAAGCCTCTGGGAGGAAGAAAATGGCCTCTCCTGAGCTCCGGAGGCCGGAAATAGGCCCGTATCCTGGCTTCTGGAACTTCCAGGAGGCCCATTTTTTGCCCTCCCAGAGCCTCCGCGTGGGCTGTGCACTTACCTGGCATGATGAACGGGTCACATGGAGACTCCTGGGAGGGGTGGGGCAGGATGGGTGAGGCCAGCCAGTCTTTGCAACTACTAGTTCGGCAAACTGGATGTAAAATTAACATCCTGGTCACCCGAACCGGTCCGAACAGGCTGAATCCCATCCCTGGTCTCAGGCCAACCTATCATGGGGAAAATAGGAGGGATGAGTATTATTGGCTACCTTATTTGTAAAAATAATAAAGGTAGAATAAAAGCCATGATATTTTGCTCATTTAAGATGCTTATAATGATACTGTTAAAGTTAATTATTGCTATTTTCATATATGGAAATATAATCTCGCAGACCTGCAAGTGAAAGCTACCATGCAGATGCTTCTTATCTTTCAGATACTAAAGTGAAAAAAGTTGACGCCAAAAATATTTTGTGTACACAAGTCTCGATGTCATTTTTTGACCGATTATACTGCAAAGGGCTTGTTCGAGAAAATGGGACTATTGTAAAGTGTTTTGATGAATACCATGATGAAATTCTTATTGCAGATGAGTTGAGAAAGGTTAGTAAGTGTATTTTTAATCTCCTGCCAATGTGCACATGTTGAACCTTGTGAGTAATTTTTTTATTATCCATCTATATTTTCTTAGAGTTGTTTTCTTAGAGTAGAAGTAGGAATTATCAACTTTAGGGGGAAAAGGAAATAAATCAAAAATTGGTTCAACCGCAGTTCATCAGTAGGAGGTTTTACTAATAGCACTGAGTTTACTTTTAGTATGATTATATAAGTAGCTCTTTTTGTTTCGGTGGAAGGTTGTTAGTAGTTAAGTCCCCTGAAATATTGCAGAACAATTCTTTAGATTTTAGGTATTTATTTTGCAAACCACATTCAGCTGTCATGTACCTGTGCTAGGGCCAAGGCATAGCTCAAAAGAATATGGGCCAAAAAGTCATTTTCCTCCAAGGCTCTTAATTGCAAAGTTTTCTAAATGGAATAGCCAGGCTGTTGCAATTGTAAACTTTCTCACTCCATTATCTTCATGCAAGCAGAGACTTTGGCAGGAAGGGGACTATTTTAACTGATCTCCAAGAATCAAGGCTAAGAGAGGATATTAATCTTTTGTGCATGTGTACCTGTATAGAATAGAACCGTAATGGCTAACCTGTGGCACATGTGCCATGTTGGCTGGCACACGTGGCATCGCCCATTCCTCTTCCGGGTTTCTGGCGTGCATGCGCGTGCGATGATCAGCTGTTTTTTGTGCATGCGGCAGTCCCAGAAACCGGAAGAGCTGGTCTTTCGGTTTCCATTGGGTGCATGCATGCCAGGCAGCTGATCATCGTGCATGCATGCACGCCAGTAACAGGAAGACAGTTGCCGGTGCGCAGGCACGCGCTGGAAACAAGAACTTCATTTCCCGGCAGGCATATGCTCACTTGGCAGCTTCCCTTCTGGGGCACATCACTGACGGGCGCGCTTTTCGGCTGATTCATTAGACAATGGTGACAAGAAAGGACGTGAAATGGGGCAAAACTCAATTAACACATCTCACTTAACAACAGAAATTTTGGGCTCTCCTATATTTTTCTTTTGTCTGCTTACTGGGATATTAATCATGTTTTAGGTTGTAGCAGAAAGTTACATTAAAACCAATTCTACTCCAATAGCACATGGAGCCAAAGTTGCTCTTTCCAGAAATGAAGTGTGGACTTTTTCTTTTCTATCGAAGATATAAACAGTATAATTAATATGAGCAAGCAGAAAGGGAAACAATGACACAATTGTTTTTCATCCTACCCTGTGAAGTTTTTTGGATATGTGACAATGAAAGGAATTCTGTGCTGGATCACACCAAGCTGCATTTATCCTAGTCCTGCAGTTTAGCTTCCTTGGGAAGCTTATGCCCAGAAGCTGAAGGTGATTATCTGCTACCTCTTAACATTTTTGATCACAGAATGCTCTTATTCTTAGACTGATCAGCTATGTTACAAGGGCCTTGCACACATACATCTAGTACGTATTAAAATAAAATCCCAAAACCCTTTGCTATATGACAATGATGTGAGTATTTTGCTTCATACAACTGTACTTGGCAATCATATTATGACATATTGTAAGGGCTGCATTGAACTGATGATTGAAGCATCATGTTTTTATATTTGTTCCATTAAGAAATGTTTCAGCAACTGTTGTTTCAGCAGGGGAGGGAGCCAGAAACTCAGACAGAATGATTTTTTTAAAATACTTGTACAAAATCAATATTTCTGCTCTCTTCAGTGAGTTTTTCCTGGACTTCTTGCTGCCCTCGTTGATATTTAATTGCTCCAGTTCTTTGATAACCCAGCTTTACAGAATGGAACAATAGGTCCTTTTGTAAATTTTTCTTCCACCATGATGCAGGCAACCTCCTCTGATTCAAGGGTGGATTGTGGGTCTCCTATGTTTATACATGTACAATTATAAGAACCAAGGGAATATATCTGTTTCAATACGTCCAATCCAAGTGTCAATGGTCATATTTCTAGGAAAGGTTGTGGCCTGCCAGTGACCAGTGGAGCTGGCAGCAGATTCGGACAGTGAGGAGGTTGGGGAGGAACATGGATCAGTCCTGGAGTCTGGGGAAGGCTCTGATGAG